ACTCCTGAAACAGAATGAAAAAAATCCAAGAGAAATCCAGAACTTCTTCATAATTACACCTCATGATGCTCAAATCTCAGCGGAAGAACCCAAAAAAAAAACACCAACCATGGCTCTGATACCATGATAATACACCACTAATAATACCTTCGAAGAACTCACAGAAAGATACAGAGATCAAAGAGAAAGAAGAAGAGAAAGAATAGAGAAAGAAACTGTATTGATTTGTGTATATTCCTTACTGAATTACAATATCTGTTATTCAGTTATTTATACATGGAATCCAAACTTAGCTAGTAAGCTATTCACGTAACTAACTAACTAACATAAGCTAAGTTGGCTGTCTATCTGACCCTTGAATGTTGTAATGAGTTGGCAGTTCATCTAGCCATTGATTTATGATACTCAACATGTTTATCTCTTACGTAATAATAAAACATGTTAGACATAGGACCCGTACTATGCTTTTAGGGCTCGCCCCTTATGAATTTGCTGCAGGGTTCCAACTGGAAGTTAAGTCTGTGATCCAGAAACATCGAGGTCTTCTTGTAGATGTTTGGACTTGGTCTTGTAAAATAATAAGTTGAGAATGTGTTGTTTCTTTTCCTTTACTTTCTAGTAATATTACCTTGTAAATTACTTTTGTTGGAATAAAAGTTTCTTTCCGAATTTTTCTCGTCTAGTTCTACTTTAGCTATAGTTTTAATTTTTTTTTCATCATGCCCTTAATCGAAGAAGGAAGAAAAAAAAATCAGGGTGTGACAGAAATGCCTTCTCTTCCTCCTTGTTGTGAACCCTAATCATCGAAGGATCAAAGTGAGTATCGAAATTAGCATGAGAAGCGGGATGAACTGATGAAATGGAAGCCATTTCTTTGAAATTTTGGGATAATTCTAATAAAAAAAGAAGTTTTGGATGAAACGAAGGTGGAAGGGATTCAAATTGAAGAGTGAAACGATAGCTGATGTTTTTTTGGGTAAAATACCGAAATTAGGGATTTGGTAAAGAAGAGAAGGTGAGGTCCGAGGGACATTTAGAAAGACATTTCAAATCATCTACCCGTTGAATACAGACTAGCTTCTTTCGGGATCAATGAATCTGACGGTTAAAATCAGTGAAGAATATCTGAGTTAAGTTTTCTTGTTTTTTGTGCACGCAACAAAGGGAAACTTTATCATTGCAACCTTTATGGCATGACTCTTGAGACAACATTTTGAATTTGAAACGTCTCCACTACTCAACGGATTGCCATATGAAGACATCAAACTAAACGATGCATATTTCAACTTACTCTAAAAGGCATGGTCTTTGGATAACTATCCATCCTTAAGAGGAACATGTTCATTTCAAATACATAGTTAGGGGCAGTTGTGGGACCATAATTTTCATGGATCGGAGTAAGTCAGATCAGAATAAAGCTACCTCAAAAGTCCGGTATGGACTCAACAGCTTCGAGCGGAGCTAGATTAACGTAGTAGTGGTGCCATCATCATCCTCCTCAACATCAGCGAGCGAAGTCTTGGTAATTTTGTTGAGAATGACCATGCTTGCTCTAAGACACGAGGATTTGATCCGGCATGGTATTAGCCAGACCTTCTATATGTCTTGAAGTTCTTACAATCTAGGAATTGGTGAGCCACAAGTAATCACATTAAAGAGGATGTAATATCTACTTCTAAATACCCTGTAGCATTCTCCTGGCTTAAAACAAGGATTCTATCATAGAAAGATCTCTCTCCCGATTGGTATAAATACATCCATCTAGGGCTTGTCTTTGGTGAAGAAATCATCGTACTTTAATTCTCTCTCTCTAACTTGGCCGTCGAAGAGCGTTTGTCCAGCACACCCCTCCTCCTAGTCTTTGGCTTGCTTACGGTTGTTTGTTGTTGTACAAGTTACTCAGATATGTGCCTCCACATCTACGACGGTGCGCTAATTTGGTTTCAACAGCTAATATAGATTGAAATGCACTAGGGGTGTAGCATACTTGGTTAAAAGTGTTCGCCTTAACATTCAAGGTTTCAACCCCCTAATCGATGGTACAAAACAAAAATCCACAATCAAATGCAAATTAGGGAACAACTCTAACTGAGCATCTTCATCACGTACAACGTCATCAGCTTTGGCATCTATCTATGTCTCCTTTCAGAGTTATATGTGTTGGAAATTTAAATAGTTTGAGTAGACATTTCATTGTTCCACATTGGCCATTCCCAAAAGATTTTATCACTTTATAAGGCTTTGTCCTTTATAGAAAGTGATTGGAGTAATAGGCCTGGAGACTAAAATTAGGCTCACCCTTAGGGCTGGGCTTTGGGGTGCATTAATTAATTGGTAATTAATATATAATTAGTTATAAATAATATATAATTAATATATAATTATAAATTATAATTAATTATTTTTCGGATTTAATTAATTATTTTTTAAAATTCGAATTTGAAGTCTGAGAGTTCTTTCTAAACACAGAGCAAAGCACCCCTTGAAGAGAAGTCTCCCAACAGTCACACCCCATTCTCATACCTGTTGCAAACAGGCATCCATCTGCTATATATACATCCATCTGCATGACATTTAGTAGACAAAAAATAATCAACTTCATCTTCTACATTCCTAAACCTTCTTATTGAGAGAACCACACTAAATTCGCCAGAAGTTAAATTTTTCGGTGCTGGAATTTTAACTTGATCGTTGAATCCTGGTGAAGCAGACGTCCGTAGAACTACAAGCACAGAGTAGGGACGAAATTTATGTTTCAAGGACATTGCGGTACGCAAGCCTCGATCTTCAAGTTGTTTGTTTTTATAATTCGTATTCTAGAGGATATTCCAATGTGGCCAAAGCCGGTAATGGCTATATGTATACATTGTGATAGTATGGCCGCGCAATCAAGGGCCAAAAGTCATGTATACAACGGGAAGTCACGTCACATTAGGCGTCGACATAATACTCTTAAGAAGTTGCTCTCCAATGGAATAATATCCATTGATTATGTGAAGTCAAAGGAAAATATAGCTGATCCTTTGACAAAAGGCCTACCAAGAGAGCAAATATTATTTACATCGAGGGGAATGGGTCTCAAGCCAATTCAATGAATCAAACTGGGCGGAAACCTAACTTAGCTGATTGGAGATCCCATGGTCTAGGTTCAATAGGCAAACTGGTTGAGTTTGATTCAAAAGTTGAACACACAAACCCATTCTTATGATAAAATGTTTGTTGTCTGTTGACGTTTGAGGGGTTATGTTTTATACATTTAATGACATTAATATCTTGTTATCAAGAGGAATATGACAGACTATTCTTAATTAATGTCACCTATATAGGAGTAAATGGGGCCACATTTATGAGAATTGACATGGCTAAATTCTCTAAAGCTCCTACGAAATCCGGGATCTGTTCAGGGCCGAAATGAACACAACCGAATGAATTGACGTGTGGCAGACATGATATGTGTGTAGCATATTGTCTTGGTTTACTACTGCGGTGAACAGTTCAAGATCTTCCACATCCACTGCGTCACCAAGTAAACCCGATATGTTTTCACTAGGGTAAGTTCAAGTCCAAAAGACACTTCACCCGATGTATATCATGCCTATTCTCTCTCAGTTTTAGGCAGCCTAGTCATCCATTTGCATTTACATTTGCATTCAAATGTGGGGTGATTGTTGGAGTTTGAATGAAATTTCAACTCAAATGTGGGGTATTGTTGGAAGTTTAAATAGTTTGAGTAGACATGTCATTGTCCCACATTGGTCATTCCCAAAAGATTTTATCACTTTATAAGGTTTTGTCCTTTATAGAAAGTGATTGGAGTAATAGACCTGGAGACTAAAATTGGGCTCACCTTTGGGGCTGGGCTTTGGGGTGCATTAATTAATTGGTAATTAATATATAATTAATTATAAATAATATATAATTAATTATCAAAAGATGGGCTCTTGGGCTCGGGCTCTAATAATTAAATTATTTAATTAATTATTTTTCGGATTTAATTAATTATTTTTTAAAATTCGAATTTGAAGTCTGAGAGTTCTTTCTGAACACAGAGCAAAGCACCACTTGAAGAGAAGTCTCCCAACAGTCACACCCCATTCTCATACCTGTTGCAAACAGGCATCCATCTGCTATATATACATCCATCTGCATGGCATTTAGTAGACAGAAAATAATCAACTTCATCTTCTACATTCCTAAACCTTCTTACTGAGAGAACCACACTAAATTTGCCAGAAGTTAAATTTTCTGGTGAAGCAGACGTCCGTAGAACTACAAGCACAGAGTAGGGACGAAATTTCTGTTTCAAGGACATTGCGGTACGCAAGCCTCGATCTTCAAGTTGTTTGTTTTTATAATTCGTATTCTAGTTTATATTCTGTTAATTCCTATTGCATTTATTATTTATTAGCATATATAAATTATCACAGATTGTTGACATACATCCAACAATATGAAATATTCTTGTGAAATAAATGATTTGTTTAAGAAAAATGGTACGCAAAGAGAATGAGAAGAGCGTTCCGATATTCAATAAATGAATGCTTTTGAATCCAAATACATGGATATATCCATCAAAATGCCACCATTATTCTTCAGTGAATTACATGATTAACAGCAACAGTTTGAGTTTACTTGTTTTTGTAATCCCATGTAGGTTGACGCTTAAGTTTATGCAGTCCTCCTTTTTAATAACTCCAGTTGAATGGGAATTTGAATGAGACAAGAGGGTGCTTCCAAATATGTCAAGTAGCTAAGGATGAATGGGTACTGCATGGTATCTTGTGTCTTTTTTGGGTTTAATGTTATCTTCCGTCTTCATCTCCAAGGAACCAGCTCATTTGGATTTGTCTGCTCATATCCAGTTGATATTTCCGATGTTTCTTGTTTGATTCGAGCAACCGAAAATCTTGAATGAAATAGGAATTTGGGTTTTCATCTAGATTTATGCAGAACTTTCCTTTCAGCTTGTTTATAATGTAAAACATCGGGGAACAGATTTTTCTTCATTGCACTATAACAACCTTCTATCCATCTCTAACTTTTGTTTCTCATTCCCAAACAAAAAATGTCTCTCATCCATTCTTGCTTGTGGCCTTCTGCCCTAGTGTCCATGTTGTTAATTGCTATGTGCAGTTTATCAGGCATGAATACGAGCCATTATATTGATCATAAGTCTATGTGCTGCTTCTTGATTCCGTTTTTGGGTGAGAATGATCTTTCTAAATGAGATGATGCTTTGTTTCGTTTGCAGATTGCTATGACCCCTTGGATCCAAATGGAAACTTTACGGTTACCTTCGACACATATGATTGGGCAGATGATGGCTATTTGGTTAGTATGCCATAAAAACACTTGTATGACCTAGAAACATGTTGAAACTTTGATTAAAAATTCATGTCCTTCCTGAAAGAGAAAACATTTGAAAGTGTTTCTTATTGAAGCACTTGGCAAGTACTTCTCCAGAAAAACACTTGTATGACCTAGAAACACTAAAGAAACCCTTAATACTATTACCGTACATTTGCGTATGTATTTGATGCTTTTCAAGTCTTGAACTTAATTATATACAATATGCAATAGACTAACAAGAGGTCGCACTTGGTGCGATGGAAAGTGCCTTCGCCCATGAACGGTAGGTCTCGGGTTCGAGACTTGGGAGCAGCCTCTCCATAAATGGGGGTAAGGCTAGCCGACATTCACCTCTCCCAGACCCTACGTAAAGCGGGAGCCTTGTGCACTGGATACGACCTTTATGCAATAGACTAACAGAAACTTTTATTGCAGGCAAAAGTAACCATCCAAAATTTCTACCAGTATCGTCATGTGGACAAACCTGGTTGGCAGCTTGGATGGGTTTGGCAACAGAATGAGGTGATTTGGTCAATAACTGGTGCGTTTGCTAACGATCAAGGAAATTGCTCTGCGTACCAGACTGATATACCACACTCCTGCAAGAAAAATCCCGAAATAGTTGACCTCACGCCAGATGCCTTGTTGGACAACAAATCGGAGGACTGCTGCCGGGGTGGTGTACTTGATGCTTTGGCTATCAACCCTTCCAAGTCATTATCTTCGTTTGGAATTAAAGTCGGAAATTTGGGAGGATACCCTTTTAATGGAAGTCCACCTCTCAATCTTACTTTGAAGGCACCAGGTCTTGGTTACACCTGTGGGCCTCTTTTGAATGTTGACCCAACAGTTTCTACGGATTTTGGGGGTAGACGCCAACGTCCAGTTTTCAGTAAGCACTTTAATTAGCCATGACATGCACGTATATTAATTAAAATGTTCTCTTTTCACACTGATGGATAACATAAAATGCATATATCAAAAACTGGAAAACTGGATTAGCTCAATTTTGTTAGAACGTACGCGTGCTTCATATTCAGAGTCCGTTAATGTAAGCAAATCTAACATGCATAAGTCTATTTTTTTATCAAAACGACAGTATTGCATTTCATTGCAAAAATTAGAACAAAAAGTAGAACAAAAGTAGATCCTCGGCATGCAGAGGGGATGGAACAAAGCTATAATTTTTAGCGAGGTTGTGAATAGTTGAGATTTTCTCTTGACGTACAGGTTGTGAATCATAATGGTTGATTGTGTAGAGTCATGCATGAATATGATTCATAGTCTGACGGCGTGATTTAACTGTGCTACTTCTGATTAACTTAATTTGAGGTTAAAGCATCATCAACTACTTGTTTGCAGGAACTTGGAAAGCAACATGCACTTATTCCAGTTTTTTAGCTAGTGATTCTCCAGTCTGTTGTGTTTCACTCTCTTCATTTTATAATTCTGAGATCACATCATGCCCCAAATGTAGCTGTGGATGCAGACCAGTAACAGACAAAAAGATGGATACATGCATTAGGTGCACTGTTAATTATTTTTACTGCATCATAACACTGAGAGATCCGAATTTTCAAGTTAATTTGAATTCCACTAATCCTTCGTTTCTGTATCTCTTTCCTCTTTATGATAACAGGCAAGCCTACCCTTTAGGAACGTCAGTAGAATATGATGGCGATGGTCTTGACACAGTGAAATGCACTGATCATATGTGCCCGATTCGTGTTCACTGGCATGTTAAGACTAACTACTTGACTCACTGGAGAGTTAAACTTACAATTACTAATTACAACTATATGAAAAACTTCTCAAATTGGAATGTACTGGTCCAGCACCCTGGTCTCAGTAAGGAAGCAAGAACATACAGTTTCAACAGTACAATTCTTCCTACTAGGTTTAGAGGTACTTACTCTATTTGATATTTTTGCTTCAATAACCATGAAAGTAAAACTAAGAAATGTTGAATATCAAGTTGGTTTTATAGATTAATTTCAGTAGAAAGAATATGTCTATAACATAACATTGTGAATCTGGATCACATGTCAAATAGAATCAACCTGATCAATAATCTAAATTCACAGTCTTGCTGCCAAACAGCCTGACAACTATATAAATATGTCGTATTGACGATTATGGTCACCTGAAGTGGAACCATGATATTGTGAGGTTCACATAGACCTTGCAACCTTGTGAGAGAATCGGATAATTTGGCCAAGACTTACTAGGTAGTCAAAACCCTCTATCAGTACTCAATAGGCAACTTGTGATAATTGAAGTTACGTTCTGTCTGGCAACATAAATTTGACAATAGAACATTACCGTTTATTCTATAACCGCTTTATTCAAGAAAATTCTAGTTTCTCATTGAGGACTCTTGCAGATGCAGCTGCCCTGTACTGGGGCATACCCTACGTCAATGAAGAGCTGATTGCAACAACTGAGGATGGAGTGGGTTCAGTCTCAACAGAGATGCTTCTGGAAAAGGACTCAAACTCCTTCACATTAAAAAATGGATGGGGTTTCCCAAGAAGACTATATTTCAACGGAGAAATCTGTGAGATGCCCTTACCAGACACTTACCCAATGTTGCCAAATGGCAGCTCCAAACCCAAACCATCACATTTCCTCTTCCTTCTTTTGATATTTTTCATCTCCCAAACCCTAATTTTTACATGGGGTTGATGAATAAAATATTGAACCTTTTTTTCCCACAAGAATTGTGCTCTTGATGTTATCTTGACTAGAAATTCTTTACTTCTAAAGTACATGTTTACACAGGATTTTTACATTTACCTGAATTATAATTTATCTCTCAAAGTGTTTGCTGATTGGTACAGTTTAACACTATTGCCAATTCATAATGTTGATCATACTTTTTCTGATCATAATTTGTTGATGTATATTCAATTCATATGTTGTTCTTTATTTTTCTCCAATAATGATAATTAATTACTGTCTATCTCAGCTTGGTTAATATACTCATGCATGCATCCTCTTTGACCGTCTCTAGCCTTTTCCTATCGTTATCAAAAATACGTGGTCAATTAGCCTTTCACTCGATAAACTTTACCACCAAGCTCCAAAAGTGTAAATTTCCAAAAATATATGACAAATGAAAGGATCTCACACAAAAAATTAAAGAGCATATGTCAAAAAATTCACAATTTCAAAACATTTTTAAGAATTGAGACATCGATTAGGAATGCTTTCTCATATTACAAAATAATATGAAAACTATATGATCCTATAATTTGTAGTCAGTATTAAAATAATACTAAGAAAATTGGACAAAAAAGTATGACAATGATTTTTCAACAATCAGTATTCTAAGGTAGTAAAGTATAGTATAAATTCCATCACGAAACATGGAGTTTTTTTTAAAGAAAACTAACGAAAAGTCCAAAAAAACTTTTCTTTTAACGAAAAGCCTTTTTTAAAGGTATAGTGAATAGCGCCAGTTAAAGGTAAAAATGTGGTTTTTCATTAAAAGTGAACAGTACCGGGAGTGTTTTGTTAAAACTCCATTTTTATATATATATTTATTTATTTATTTAAAATTTTCATTTGGTAATACATATATACTTGACGCCGCCCGTCCTTATTTTTTTGGTGCCCAGAATGAAGGCTAAAAAAAGTGCCTTTTTTCAATAGACAAACATATATTAAAAAATTTCCTTAAAAAAAATACATATATTAAAAAAAAATAATTAGAGGGCTGAAACCCAGTTAAAACTGTGGGGCTAGGCTCTCACGCCCATATTTTGGGGGGGGGGAGGACATAGTACCTAACCCCCGATGATTAAAAGCAAAATCATATATAACCAATCCAAACAAAACTCTTTGAAATTACAACCTTTAAGAAATCGTCTTCTAACATTTTTTTGAAGCAAAATCATCGATTGTATGATCATACTTCAAGTCTTCAACCTCATCATTTTCAATGCATAAGATTACTAATCTATTTAGCCTATCTTGAGTCATAGTGGTCCACAAGTAAGATTTCAATTCTGAAAAACTCCTTTTTGCATATGCGACAATCAACAGTACAAGATAAGCAGTCAACACATTTGGAAACATGTCAATTTCTCTTACAAACTTTGCTATTTCCATGGATGTCCAAGGCTTATTATATTGAAATGATTCTTCAGGTAACATCGTTTGCAATATCTGTAATTCATAATATAAGACAGCTTCACCTACATCAATGGAATTTCCATGATTCAAATGTGCCTCAAGATTCATGCAACATTCTTTTAGCTCTTGATCGTTCAATGAAATTAAGTTTGTTGCATTGAGTGTCGCCTTTTAAGCTTGTTCGAACAAGGAACATAAAGTGTCACCTTTTAAGCTTGTACGAACAAGGAGCGTTGTGCAGTGTGTAGTTTAGGCTCATGAAGACGATGATCATTGAGTGTTGCCTTTTAAACTCATGCGAACAAGGACTGTTGAGTGTCACCTTCTAAACCCATGCAAACAAGGATTGTTGAGTGTCGCCTTTTAAGATCGTGCGAATAAGGAGCATTGTTGCCGTGTGCAGTTTAGGCTCATGTAGGGAGGAGCACTGTGTCGTGTGCAGTTTAGGCTCATGCAGGCAATGGGCATTGAGTGTTTGGTTTAAGGGTAGTAGCGCTTCAAGAATCTGCCATTGATGGGGCCGATCTTTAAGCCGTCTTCTGCCATGATTAGGTAGGTGTCGTTGGTGTAGACCTCTTGTATTACGTAAGGTCCATCCCACTTTGATGTGAACTTTCTTTTTGTTTTGTGAGTTGTGATGATAGGCCTTCATAATGCCAAGACAAGATCTCCAACTTGGAAGGAACTTAGGCGGACCTTCTTAGGAATTCTGATAGATGGTATACTAATAGATACTGCCAAAGAATCAAAACTATTATTGGTTTCCTAACTCAAAAGAGTTGGATAAGATGACAAGATAATAGTAATGGAATTGATGAGTAAAGTCTTTGATGGTACACAATTATCGACATAATAGCCCTATATCAGGGCCACAAACTCATCTCTGAATCAAGATTTTCCTTGGCAATAAGGTTTGTTGGTACCATATTATATTGGGCCTCGTTACTTGGGTTTCTAGACATTGAGCCCATGATTTATGTAAAAAGGGAGGAGCCCTTAGTCTATAAAAGGGCCTCCTCACCCTCACAATCTTCAGATCTGAGATCCTCACATACAGAAGCCATAAAGCTCACAAACAGAGAACTCTCTCAAACTCTCTCTTTCTCTGGGGGACTCCCCCTCACACTTATGATCCATACATTCATACACAGAAATACAATCAACATCAGTGTGGACGTAGCCCAAACATTGGGGTGAACCAGGATACATCTTTGTGTTCTTGGGCGTTTGCATGATTCACGGTCGGATTTACGTTGTTCCAAGACCTTCCGGTTTTATGCATCAACATTTGGCGCCGTTTGTGGGAAACGACATGAAAAGCTATGTCGTTTCTCTTTCATTTTTTCATCTCACCACCGTGAGATCTTACCACACTCCACCATGAATCTGCAGAAACCAAAAACCCCCATAAGTTAATAAAAATCTTTGTTCCTCTCTCTCTCGACACATTTCGCTTCTTTTCCTCTTTCTCTGCTCTCTCCCTCCTCGTTATCCGACGCATCACCAAACAAATGGGAGGTCCGATCATGCTGACTCAGTTCGCCACCGGTCTCGGCGTCTTGGCAAGCGCGATCTTCGTCAAATCGGTCATCGACCAGAAGCCTATGACCTACCCCTTCCCGCGCTGTCCCAGGTGCAACGGAACGGGTTGGGTCATCTGCTTCTGTTTACGCTGGTCTGATGGTGATGTCGGGTGTCGGAGCTGTGCCGGCTCGGGTCGTACATTTTGTAGCAGCTGTGGTAGGACGGGTACGAGTTAGCCACTTCCGGTTCAGATCTTCGTATAGCGCCCCAACCCTCTATCTTAGCCGTATGTTGGTATGCCGCACCTTCACGCCCTTCTGAAGCAAGCACATGAGTCGCTCTACATCGAGTCGACTCGGTTACTTCCCGTTCTTGACCAGCTTGACCCTGCCAAGCACTCTCTCGGATACCTCTACATCCTGGAGGCATGCTCATTTGGTTCGATTTCAAAGGAGCAGGCAAGTACGTTGGTCTTTCCCATAGCCAAATTTATCAATTCCTGTGTTGAAGAGCAGATTCGTTTGCAGCCTGATAAATTTGATTTACGAACACCGGCGAATAAAGCAAAGAGTTGGCTGCTTGCATTGCAGCCGTCTGCTGCTGTTGCTGTGCACATGCAGCTCTCCATGCTGCAGACTTTTCAAATTCTTTTTGCCTTATTTGGGCGACTTCGACTGTTCGGTAAGAGTATACTCCTATGCAGAAACAGGTCATAGCTGATGGTCTTAAGATTCTATCCAGGATTTACTCATTATGTAGATCTTGTGGTTGCTCAAGAGTTGAGGAAATTAGTCCAGAGCTGAGCAAACTCAGGTGCAAGCAGTTATTGGAAAAAAATATTTGAGAGTGATCGAGAGAGCTTTACAGCAACGAGATTATTAAGATTCGCAAGGAGATTGTGGACTTCCATGGAGAGATGGTTTTGTTGGAGAATTACAGCACCCTCAACTATACAGAACATTGTGAGCCATGAGTTTTCCTCTGCGAGAGCACATGGGTGACACTGCAAAAGCCAGGAATAAAGGGAATAGACCATAATTTCGTCAAAAATAGAGATAAGAACTTTATTATCAGGCAAAATGGCTTTTGTCGACCACCAAGGAAGATGCCCACTCCATTGTCTAAAATGATAAGTTTTCTTATAATAATCCTATTATTAATTCTATCATTATTCCGTTTGCCATTTGACAAAAGGAAAAAATAAAGAAAGCTTTACTTTTCCTTTTCAGCAAACATCATTATGTTTTCATCATTTATTTAATATTTTATTGTTATTATATTATGATATTTGTTAACATGTTGCCTAGTGACATATATTTAACCCAAGTACATGTGCAATATTTATTCATGGCCTAGAATATTATGATTGCCTTTAAACTATGTCACTTATACAACATGTGATTTACCACATGACTGAATAAATTATTTATTTATAGAAGGCATATAGTACAATATTTTGCCTTGACAAACTTTGTCAATTTGATTTATTCATTATACGGTCGTACTTATACTGTCATTTATTGTCAGGAATTATTGAGCAACTATAGACTGATGAGCCACGTGCTCATGGTGATCTCTTGTCTGACCAGACACCCACTTGCTTGGACATTCGCTTATTGGGACACCTATGTGCCTGGACCCAACTCGATGACCCTATAGATAGCCCCAACTCGATGACCCTACGTACAGCCCCGACTCAAAGACCTAACTTGCGGACTCGATCCACGGATCTGACACATAGACCTAATATGCGAACCCGACAAGCGGACCCGAGTCATGTCGAGAATCAACTCATACTGAGTGCATGTCAACCTAAAGTAGATACTTGCAATGAGGAATACCATAAGCTGAGCTGCCTCGCAGCGAGCATAGCTTCTAGCCGAGCCGCCTTGCAACGAGCATTGCCTCCAGCCGAGTAAACGCCTCCCCGTAAGTATAGCCTCTAGTTGAGCAGCCTCGCAACGAGCATCGCCTCCAGC